GCTTGAGTAGCTCACCTCCCTTCCTGGAGAATCATTAATCGGGTGTTTGGGGCTGTTGCTGCAGGTTGGGGGAGGACTCTTTACTTCTTCCAGCATTTCATCTTGGCTTTTTGCTGTTGGGTTTCCCTGGACTCTTTGCTTCTTTCAGCATTTCATCTTGGCTTTTTGCTGGTGGGGGGCAGAGAGAAGCTAGAAGACAGGGTACACAGGAGAGATGGGAGTCAGCGTGTCAATTTAGGTGTGGGGCCAGGAGCCAGGACTTTGCTCACCCAGGGAGGTGGTACAGCTGTAACTCCAGCAACATGCACCACTTAAAGCTGCCTCCCCCCATCAGTGAACAGCCTGCTCTCTGAAGGGGGAAATATGGGATAGATAACCTTGACCTTTTGAGATTCCACAGTCATTTCATTCTTGGGGGGCATTTGCACTGGAAGGAACACAGAGCCATGGGGAGATCTCAGCTCAGAGGCTGCCACCTGCTTTTCCACACCTGGCTGCACCCCCACCCTGGTCTAAGCTTGGGCTACTTCTCTGGGTCTTTCCAGTAAAATGGGGCTTAATAATAGCCTCTCCCTCATGAAGCTGCTGTAAGGATTCCGTGAGCTAATACAGGTGGAACTCAGACCTGTGCCTGCTACATAGTAGCCACTCACTAGAGCTTACCTACTATCATTCTATTTGGCAGGCAGGCACCCTCTCATGGAGTCAGCATTTGCAGAAAAATTTGTTCTTTCTACAAGCTTTGGGTTTCTTGTCTTCCTCACTTTAGTAATTCTTAGTGTTCTGGTTACCTCAGTCTCTTGCTTTATTATAACATCCATCTTGAGAGATTTATATTCTAGTGAAACCAAATCTTGTTAGAAGTTATTGGCATGTTATTTCTGTCTTCTGGCATTCTTAGTCACTTTGCCCAGGACCTGACTTCCTAGATTTTTTTTCCTTCTACATAAAAAAAAAACAAAATACAATTCCCCATCTTTGAATATTACAAACAGAAGTGATTTGGGATTAGATAAGGAAACAGAGTGGTGCATGATGGGTATTCAGATGGAAACAAGTTACAGTTACAGGGCAGTGTTAATACTGCCCAGGGTGGCCCCCAGCCATGGTGCCATCCTCACCGGTGTGTGTGATTCAGGCCAGAGATCTCTACTGCCCTGGTGTCAAAAGGACCCCATTCTTCCCTTCATAGCTGCATGGCCTGGGGTGAGTAACCTTGGTTCTGTGAACCTCAGTTTCCTCATCAGCAGCTTTGAGATCCTGTGAGTATGATACCTAGAGGCAGTGTTGTGTGGTCTTGAAGACGTGGCCTGGCTCCTTGATGAGGGGCAGAAGTTGGGCACATGAGGACATTGTATCTTCTGCCACATGACAGAATTTATGTGCAGTTTCCCTGTGGCTGGAAACTGTTAGGCTTCTTAGTATCTGATGGGGGAAATGAGAGAAGGTGGGAAGGGGGTCTGGCGGGAAGACAGGAGCTATCGTGGTGACACAGATGGGGCCTGTGCTAAATGCTCCCCTTTTTTATATTTCAAAATGTTGCTCCCATCCTTTAATTATTTTGCATGATGGGACAGTTAGAAAAGAAAAATCTGGGAGGGTCTCGGCCAAGATGAGTTGGGTTATCTGGAAAAGCATCTAGGCCCAAGGAGAAATGGCACAGTTCCAGAAAGAGTGAGGCAGGTAGGGGCTGGGCTGGAAAACGCTTGCACCTGCCAGGTGGAAAAGACCAGAAGAGTTTCTGTCTCTAGGGACGAGTGCCCCAGTTGAAGAGGTTAAAACCGTGGGAGTGTATCTGAGTTCAATTCAGAAGGGTGGAGATTTTTGGTGCCACAAATGAGGCACAGCCACCGTGGGTGTTCAAAGTGGCCTGATACCTCTTCCCTGGGACCGGACAGGCAGAGTCTCTGACCCCAACAGCTGCATCTTCCCACCATGAGGACACTGAGGGAAAGCTGCTCTCAGCTACGCCCCGAGCCTCAGGAAATTCGCAGCTCTTTCCTTGTTCCTCTTGTTTGATCCAGGGAAACCAGGGTTTCTTGATGGAAAGAACAGGTTGCTCCTGGCCAGGAAGGGCCTGCAGCTGTATTTCATTGCTCCAGAGAGAATCCACCCTCCCTGAGAGGGAGGACGGCTTTTGGCTTTCAGGGCCTTCCAGCCGCAGAGGTGGCCTGGCGGGCAGCTGAGTTCCCGTGACCCCTGAGGCCCCGGGCTGACCTCTCAGTTTGGTGGACCTACTTCTCATGGGCGGGGTAGGGCACAGGGCACTAGCTCTCCCCGTGGGTGACCTGCACTCTGCTGGGACTTAGTTTATCAACTATGTCACATGGGTTTGTAGACAAGATAGTCGCTAGGGTCCTTTTCATTCTAAAAACCCACTGCTCTGCATTCTCCTTTCATAACCTTTCAGCACCCTTGGAGCCAGGAGTGGCTAAGAATCCTGGGATATGGGAAGGAGCAGAGGCCGAGGGCACTAGTTTTAGTGGGAAGTAGCTGAGAATGGGCCCTTCCACAGAGGAAGAAAGTGAGGCGCAGAGGAGAGATGTGACATGCCCACAGTCACATCATCTGCTTGGTGATAGCTTGAGGTTGGGTGCCAAGGCTTCATGTTCTTATTCTGCACACTCTCTTGTTCAAGGCAGTGGTGCCACGAATGGTATTTCTTGGCCAGAGGCTCACCCTCCGGGCTGTGGCCACCAGGCTAGAATTTCCAGAGGCTGCCACCTTTATGGGGGGATTATATATTCTAATGTCCAGGAACAGAGGGCCCATTACTCATCTCCTTCACTACATCCCTGCACAGGCCTTAGTCCCTTCCTTCCTGATCTTGACCACTTCCCTTCCATCCTCCTCCCAAGTTTTTTTTTAAATATTTATTTATTTGTGCATACAGAACAGGGGTATAGGCCAGAGGTGCAGAGGTCGTGAGAGTATTCACCACAGACAGAGTGGGGAGCAGAACAGGCCTACTGATGAAGTACACTGCTGAGGGGAGCAGCGGGCGGGTCAGGAGAGGTCTGCCACGCCATGTGGTCACTTCCGGGGCAGGCGGGGGATCGAACTCATGTGGAAGTGGCTTTGGCTTCTTAGTGCTGTGCTTTAACCCGCTGTGCCACCAGGGAGGGCTCCCTCCTCCCAAGTTTTGACAGCTGTCTACTAGTTCAGGACTCTGGGCCAGGAGAGTTTTCTGGGAGGGTGGACCTTTGGATAGGGAAGGGTACTTGTAAGAAAAGGGACTTTGATGGTCACCCTGTGGGGTGTGAGCACAGGATGGGGGGCCAAGGCTGGCTGTGCTCGCTGCGCCCCTGACACGGGGCCCCTGGGTAAAGTCTGATCACTCCTGTGCTTCTCTGGACATGATCACTGTCAACTCACTGGGAGGTGTGGCTGTCAGCTGACTGTGGGAAGCCACGTATCACTGCTCTGGTGGTAAACTTTAAGCGCTTGGGGTTAAAATTTGCTGATTTTCTGGACTATGACCAGTTTTCCTCCTATGTGCTAACCCCACAAACTCTGCTGCCCACCTTCCCCATGTCAGCATGTGCACACACACATACCTGTACACACACGTATGCACACACACAGGCCTGAAGAGAAGCACCATTGAGAAAGTGAGAGCATCTCCGAGGACGTTTGTGTGAACATCTGGGCTCCCTGGGAGAGAGTGAACACAGATGTGTGCACACACACACATGCTCACACACACACACACACACATACACACACACACAGAGCTCCTTCTCCTGAGTGGAGTTGTCAGGCAATCAGCTGTGACACAGAGAGAACCCCAGTATATGGACGCCAAGTACATGCTTTTCTGCTCTGTGACTTGAGTCTCTGAGTTTTGGTTTGCTCATCTGTGGAAGGTCAATGTAATAGTCCTTAACCGGCTGGTTGTGGGGAGGATTAAGTAGGGTCAGCATGGATGGTACATGTCCGGTTCAGCACTGACTATGTTGTCGCCACGATGAACTAGGGGTCTCGGTTTCCACCTTTGGCAAATAGGTATATTAATGTACCTGCTCCCTAAGTCTCTTGTGGGACCCACATGCAGTGTTACTGGTAACCATTGTTTGTCAAGTATAAAATGCCCTGAAATTAAAGGTGAGGATGATGAGACTATCAGCTCCCCTGATTCAACACTGTCTTCTTGGGGGGCGGGGGAGACAGAATGTGTACACGTGTCTTATGCTAGTTCCAGCTGCTGGGCTCTTAGGAGTCTAGGTGCATCACTGGCCTGAGGTGCCCACTATGACCTTTGCCCTTTCACCCTCCCAGAAGCGCTCTCTGTCAGGGTCACTGCTGGATCCCTAACTTCTGCTGCAAGTTTCATCTCAGTACAAAGTGGGGGGACCTTCTTGCTTAGCTCATGGTCCATTTAATTCATCTTACCTTCCTAACAGCCATGATGCCCAAGCTCCTCTGAAGCTTCTGTAGCCAAATGGGCCATGTCTGCACAGGGGCTCGGTGCCTCCTTACCTATTACCACCTCCCAAGAAGTCAGATCTCGGCCAGGGAACGTGGCTGGCCAGTGTCCTTCTGACAGAGGTGCATTTGTGTTTGTTCAGAGGCAGTGACCCAGCAAGGACTGAGGCGGCTCAGAGTTGATTCTGGGTGGGTGATGGTGACCTACCACTGCTCCTGCCTCAGTTACGATGACCTGAGCCTCAGCCAGCTACGGGAGTTGCCATTTCCTGGTCTGGAAGCCCTCTCTATATAGAGTGGTTTAATTCTGTACCTCCTAATTTACGCCCGCGGGACCTCCCTGCATAGGATAGGGTAACATCTTGTCAGAGCCACAGAGCTTTCTTCCTGGGGCCTCCTCCCTAGCCTGGGTTGTTCCATAAATAGCCCCACAACCGCTGGAGGAAGCGGTGCTGGCTCTGGTAAGGCCCAGTGGCGATGAACTGGAATGTCCCAAGGGTGCCCTGTGTTCTTCTGAGGACTTTGTGGTCACTGACTGACTTCTGGCTGGTTTCACTTCTCTTCTGCCTGGGCAGGACCTGTGTGGGGCCACCACCTGTGACACACTGGGCATGGCTGATGTGGGCACCATGTGTGACCCCAAGAGGAGTTGTTCTGTGATTGAGGATGATGGGCTTCCATCAGCTTACACCACTGCCCATGAGCTGGGTAAGGCTGGCTGGGGGTGTGCGTGGGTGGAGGGAGGGGACAGTCCTTGGGTCATTCTGTGCTTACACTGCATGCCCAGGGTGGGGAGTGGTAGATACTTGTCTTTGCTCTCTCATGTCCTGAAGCCCTATAGACGCCTTATTTAAAAATATTTATTTATACATAGAAGAACTGAGGTGCAGGCCAGATGTGTGAGAGGTGAGAGGACCCACCAGAGACAGAGTAGGGAGTGGAACAGGTGGATATTCTGAAATATATTGCTAAGGGGAGCAGCTGGCAAGACAGGAAGGTCTGCTGTGCCATATGTGGTTACTCCCTGGCTGGGGATCCCAGGCATTGGTGGTGATGGCTTTGAGACTTAACCCCTGTGCTATCAGGGATGCCACAAAATCCCTTCTTAGGGTCAGAGTCTTCTTAACATGGCCTTTATTTTCCCAGGGGCTCCAGCCCAGCTGGCCAGTGACATTGGGTACATCAGTCATTGGAGTGTCTCCTCTATCAGGTGCTAGGGGGAGAATAAGTTCAGTATATGCAGTCTTCACATACACTGATGGGTGGGACAGAGAATATAAGAACATGACCTTGAGGCATTCACAAAAGACCTAGTGATAGGCAGACACAGCCAGCCTGAAAACTGTGGCTGTAGCTCCCAGCTTCCCTGGCTAATCCCTCCTCCCACCCCAGGTCTCCTTGAAAATGGGTAACCCCCAACCCCCTGGCTCACCCCACAGGCCACGTGTTCAACATGCCCCACGACAACGTGAAAGTGTGTGAGGAGGTGTTTGGGAAACTCCAAGCCAACCACATGATGTCCCCCACGCTCATCCAGATTGACCGTGCCAATCCCTGGTCAGCCTGCAGTGCTGCCATCATCACCGACTTCCTGGACAGTGGGCATGGTAAGCAGGGTGGCAGAGAAGGAGCTGTCAGGGGAGGCCACCTCCCTGACCCTGTCCTCTGTCACTAGCTAAGGTAGGTGTGCGTGGCGCCAAATAATTGGGCTCTGAATTCGGTGGGTTCCATTGCCCCTTAGTTCATGCTCTCCCTGCCATTTCGAGGCTGACTTGGTGAAGTCTCACCTTCTCCTTTTCACCCACTCTGCCTGGCCTCTCTGCAGGTGACTGCCTCCTGGATCAACCCAGCAAGCCCATCACCCTGCCCGAGGACCTCCCAGGCATCAGCTACACCCTGAGTCGGCAGTGCGAGCTGGCCTTCGGCGTGGGCTCGAAGCCCTGTCCCTACATGCAGTACTGCGCCAAACTGTGGTGCACCGGCAAGGCGAAGGGGCAGATGGTGTGCCAGACCCGCCACTTCCCCTGGGCAGATGGCACCAGCTGTGGCGACGGCAAGTTCTGCCTCAGAGGCACCTGCGTGGAGAGACACAACTTCAGTAACTACCCGGTGAGCGTGCAGGAGCTGCACGGGCTGGCTGGGGTGGGAGAGCAGAGACTGGGGTCTCCACTGGGGTCTGCTCCATCACAGCTTTGTGGTGTGTTTATAACTGTGTGGCATTGCTGCTCTGTGCCTCTGTTTCCCCAGCTGGGCTCCTATCCTCTTCTTGATGCTAAGTCTGGAGGGTAAAGTTACGGTGGGTCACAGACCTAAGGCAGGTGGGGTGAGGAGCAGAAGTGAGGGGCCTAATCCTGGGCTCAGAGCAGGGTGCTCTGGACCCAAAGTCGCACATTCAGAGTGGCTCACTTGGCGTCTTCTTTTCTTTCCTCCCCAGGCTTTATTTTCTGTGGTGGTGGTGGTTTTTTGATGCTTTAACATAATTGAACAAAAATTACTTTTCTGCCCTGACATATAAGAATAGCAATCAAGAATAGGTTCAGGACCTCAACATTATCTGAATAGAATAGAAGCTTTATATTCTTTAGATGTTAGGTTGGGGCAGTAAAGAGATTTGTGCTCTCTAGACAGGAATGAAGAGTCCATTCTCTTCCTGACCCTAGTGATGGCTGGGTCCTTGCTCCCAGCCCCCCACACTGTCCCCATACCTCTGCACTGTCCTCTGCCCTCCATGATGTCCCGGTCAGCAGCTGACATGGCCAGTGCCATGTCTCAGAGGTGCACTGTCTAGGGGAGAAACTAGAATTGTAACAGACCACGTGGCAGACGGGTGTACCTTGTATGTTAAGAAAGAAGTATGAAGTCCCTGGAGAATAGGAGATGAGAGATTAACAGTGCCTAGGAGGGCCCTCCCTGGTGGCGCAGCGGGTTAAAGCACAGCACTAGGAAGCTTAAGCCACTTCCGCATGAGTTCAATCTCGCCTGCCCCGGAGGTGACCCACATGGCCCGGTAGACCTCTCCTGACCCGCCCACTGCTCCCCTCAGCAGTGTACTTTGTTGATCTGCCCGTTCTGCTCCCCACTCTGTCTCTGGTGAATTCTCTCACCCTCCGCATCTCTGGCCTGTACCCCAGTTCTTTACGAATAAATAAATCTTAAAAAAAAAAAACAACCAACAAACAGTGGCTAGGAGTCTGAAAAACTTCAGTGAGGTGGTTAAATTTGAGGGAGCATTGAGGTCACCTTGAAGGCTGAATTGGGCCTCGGTAGGCACACCTGGCACCAGTCAGGAAGGTGGGGCAGGCTCAGGCTTCTGCTGGCTTTTCTGCACGTGTTGCCAGGAATGTGGTTGGAACTCAGCAAATACGGTGAATGAATGAATGATTAGCCGTGGTAGGGAGCGTTTCCTGTAGGAACAGGAGAGAGGGCGTGGTGTCAGGTAAAAACACAGCAGGGTCTCAGAAGCCACAGGAATCATGTTAAGTACGAAGAAAAATTAGAGCTGACAAGGCCTGTCATGCTGTTTTCACCTTCCCTGGTCACTGCTGTCTTTTGAGAGAGCAGCTTCTGTGGGGTGATGGGGGTGACTCCTGGTCACCAGACCCCGAGGAGGGAAGAGGGAGAAAGAGAATATAGCGGGGTCTCTCAGGAAGTAAGAAGTTAGAAGGAGCGGGGGACTGGTATTTTTTTTAAATAGGATAAACAGACATGTTGACACAATGAGACAGTAGCTTCCTAACAGAAAGGTAGCATAAGAACCCCGAACATATACATCAGTTCAAGGATTTCTCTTGCTCGCAACCAGTTTCTGATTAGCTCCATGTGGGTCCATCCCACTGGCTGTCACTGTTTAATCCCAGGCTTCTCCGACTGGGCTGTTCCCTCTATTGCTCAACCAATGTGTGCTGAGGGGATAAAAACTGACTTTACTGTCATCCTTAGAAAAACATAATAAAGATTATATATTTTCTATCCCTTCTCCCACCCTCTTCAAAAATAAAAGACAACTGCATAACTCACCCCAAAGCCAAATGGAGTTTTAGAATTGCTTAATAATCTCTTATCCATATCTCCCCTTAACACAAACATTCAAACTGCATATAGTGTAGCGTTCTCAAATTCAGTCTTCTCTTAAGGTAAAAAACCTGAATTGTAGGACACTTACAGATATCTATGACAACATAATTTACCAGCAAGATTGGAGTCTGGCCATGCCCAAGATTTCAAGACTCATTCTCACAAGTATGCTGATAGAATAGATAAGGAGAAATTGAACTCCTGGGGGGCAAGTGGGTGCGAAGGGATTTTCATTCCTTTTGCAACATTAAATCTTCCTGTCTACTCATCCCTGAATATTACTGGCTCCAGTATTGCAGAGGAAGTCTCTGCAACTTAAGGTTTTTTTTTTCAAAGATTTATGTTGTTATTCATACAGAACTGGGGTACAAGCCAGGGGTGGTGAGAGGCTTCACCAGAGACAGAGTAGGGAGCAGAACAGTCTGAATGATGAAGAACACTGCTGAGGGGAGCAGCGGGTGGGTCAGGAGAGGTCTGCCTCGCCATGTGGGTCACCTACGGGGCAGGGATCAAACTCACACTGAAGCTGTTGTGGCCAGCATGAAGTGCTTCATCCTAACTCATTGCACCATCAGGGAGGGCCCAGCAGCTTAAAGTTTTGCCACTTGCTCAAGACCACCCCTGAGATGAGAGAGAGGCCCCTGGTGACCTTGATCATCCCAGCTGGTAGCCCAAAGACTGGCCCAGAGGGCGGCAGCTGGCATTTGCTAACGAAACTGCAGAAGTGTGTGGGTCCCTGCAGGCTGACGGTGGATGTTCCTCCCCGTGTGGCATGGGGTCCTCAGGCTGGACCCGCATGCTCTCTGCAGGCTCAGCCTTTGGGTGTGGCGCTCCAACCCCGGCAGGAGTGTGACATGCTCTTTCTCACAGGTGGACGGTTCCTGGGCCAAGTGGGAGCCCTACGGGGCCTGCTCCCGCACCTGTGGCGGGGGTGTGCAGCTGGCCCGGAGACAGTGCAGCAACCCTGCTCCTGCCAACGGTGGCAAGTACTGCGAGGGTGTGAGGGTGAAATACCGGTCTTGCAACCTGGAGCCCTGCCCCAGCTCAGGTGAGGCCAGGAGGGCAGCAGTGGCCCCAACTTGCAGGTGGGGCTGGAGGCCATGGCCTTGATGCTGGGTAACTGTTGGCCACCAGGTGGTTCACTTTGCTGTGCACATTCCTTCAGTCTCCTCTCTCCTCATTTACCTTGGGTGAGGGGTGAGGGTGGTGTTTTCTTCCAGTTAGACAGGGTGGCTCAAGGGCCCAAGACAACGAGAAGCCAAGAGTTCTCTCAATTAAACACTGAATTCTTTATCCAGCCTTCATGAATGTAGGTGGGAAGAAAATTTTATCTTTATTTTTACCAACTTTAAATCTAAAATTTGGTATTGCCTTCAATTACTTCAAGACTTTCCTTCAGAAGTTTAATATGCTGTGTTCTACTAATTTTTCTATCTCGAAGTTAGTGTTTATTTAAACCAGAAAGCAAACTACAGCACTAACCGGCAGTCGTGTGACTTTGTCACCCGTAGAAATGCTGGGTATTTTCCCTTGCATCACAGTTGACTCAGATTTCGCACCATCCTATTGGTACTCATCACTCTGCACATACTGAATGTTGCTACTGAATGCATGAACAAGGAACACATCTGTCACAAATATTTTCAAATACATTCATAGTTGCATATCATTTTGTAACGGATGGGGCTTATTTCATGCATTTAATAACATTCTCTAAATAGTTTTCATAGACCGCTGAAGGACCCTACAGCATAGCTGGTTAGGGTACCTCTTCTAGAGGGAATTTAAGGCCAAATTCTGGGGAATTCTGGCCACATTGTCTGGGGGACTCATTACCATCTCTACCCTGCATCGTTTGGTCCCAGCCTGCTTAGTCCTTTGAGATGGGGTGACTTGGCTTGATGAGTCACTTGGCTGAGAGTGGGAAGAAGCCATTCAGAGCCACTGGAGGTGAAGCACCCCCCCCCCAACCCCCAATCTCTCTTGGCCCCACCCAACCCTTTTATAAATTCTGGCCTATCCTTTCTCCCTCCTCAGCCTCTGGTAAGAGTTTCCGGGAGGAGCAGTGTGAAGCGTTCAATGGCTACAATCACAGCACCAACAGGCTGAGCCTGGCTGTGGCCTGGGTGCCCAAGTACTCAGGCGTGTCTCCCCGGGACAAGTGCAAGCTCATCTGCCGAGCCAATGGGACTGGCTATTTCTATGTGTTGGCACCCAAGGTGAGTGAGCCTGGGGCAGGAGGCCAGAGCAGGGGCCCGTTCTTCTGGGACAGCAGTGGTTGAGCCGCCCTCTGCTTGTCTCACCCTCCTGGGGGTGCTGCAGGTGGTGGACGGCACCCTGTGCACACCCGACTCCACCTCGGTCTGCGTGCAAGGCAGGTGCATCAAGGCTGGCTGCGACGGGAACCTGGGCTCCAAGAAGAAGTTTGATAAATGCGGGGTGTGTGGGGGAGACAACAAGAGCTGTAAGAAGGTGACAGGAACCTTCACTAAGCCCATGTGAGTACCCGGCCCCTGGTGCTGCAGGGAACTGGGGGAGGAGTGAGTGGGGTTGCCCTGAGCATTGGAAACTTCAGTTACATTGGGGTAAATGTCAGATCCTGGCTAGTGCTCTTGCTGTGGAGACCGCTCAGTTCTTTAAGCCTGATCATTCATTCATTCGCTCATTCATTCATTGATCAGACAAAGGTGAATGCTTGAGTGGGTAATAGGTAATCGGTGAAAATATTCAGGGAGGTGGCAGACAGCTGTTAGGGTCTGCGTGGAGTTTGATTTACTTTGTCACTCAAATCTTAGTTCTTATGTTCTGGATAACCTTGGGCAAGTGAGGAGTCTCTAGAATTCTAGATTTCCTTCTGTGTAAAGTGGGCCAGACACTAATATGGCTTGTGCTGTGTAGTGATGAGAATGAATGAAGGGAGTTTATCCTAGTAAAATGCATTGCTAATTACCTAGTATATCACTGAGTTTGTGATGGTGATGACAAAACATACCTGGAGATGAACTAGCACAACTTTTCTTCTCCCGGCTCCTGAGGTCCAGACCTTGGGGACTCAATGGTCATGAGGTGAAAAGGGGCAGCAGTGTGAGTGGCTGGTGCTGAGGGAAGTCCCCTTGAGGAAGACGTGTGTCCAGTCAGCTGAGGAGATGTCTCTGGGCCTTTTCTCTTTTCAACTCCAGAGTTTGCGGCTCCCCTGACTTGAGATTTCTGAGGCCAAGCACATTCATTCCCTTTAATTTCAGGAAGAATATCCTTAAGGAAGCAGGGTAGCAGTCAAAGCCCTGAGGCCTCAGTGGAGGGGGTTATGTTTGGCTCTAAAAATTTGAGATTCCAAGTCTAGATGTCTGTCCAGGGGCCTCCACTGCTCCTGGACACAGTACCCTTTACTGAACCCCTCTGGGGGAAATTTCTCTGGGTGCTTGGGCAGGACAGATAGCATTCTAGGCTGCCCTTCACAGGAGCCTACAAGGGGAGGCCTACTAGGTATTTAAGGGTAAATACCCTTGACTTGCTTCACTGGAAATGACAAGTGTCCCTTGGACCATGATGCTGAAAGATACCCTGGAAATCACCTGGTTTAACCCCTCATTGTAAGGAAGAGGACACGGGGCCCTGGACCAAGATTGAGACTGACTTGCTTAAAACCTCCAGGGTAATGGTATCCTGGCCAAGACTTGATGTGGGTCCCTGATTCCGCAACTTGAAGGCTAGAGTCCCAGCCTTGAACTCAGGCAGTGTAGACTTACTTCCACCCCCTATAGCTAACATCTATTGAGTGCTTCCTATATACTAAGCAGTCTGCTACATGCTTTGGTGTTTTGGCTCATTTAATCCCAGTTACCATTTAATGTTACGTGTGATCCTGATCTCCATTTTCTAAGTGGGAGAACTGAGCAGCAAGGTAGCTTACCTGAGGCCACAGTGAAGGGGACTCATTGGCTCTGAAACTTGTGTTTTTATTCAATGCTAGTCTTCACTCAAAGTTAAATGGGCTGCAGAGAAAAAGATCCTGAGGCATTTTAGTCGATAGGATAGAGTGGATTTAGTTTTAGGTGACCTTGCTTCCCACATTCCAGGTTGGGGGTGCCCAGGGCCGCTAAATTGTGGTCCAGGTAGGCTGGTGAGTCTTGGTACTCTGCCAGCGTCGTGACCAGCCCCAGGGTCTGTGAAAGGGGAAAATCATTTATAACATACGAGTTTCCTAAGTCCAGCACTTGTCCAACACACCACCTCCCTTGTGCCCCCAGGCACGGCTACAATTTCGTGGTGGCCATCCCCGCGGGCGCCTCCAGCATTGACATCCGCCAACGTGGCTACAAAGGGCTGATCGGAGATGACAACTACCTGGCCCTGAAGAACAGCCAGGGCAAGTATCTGCTCAACGGGCACTTCGTGGTGTCGGCTGTGGAGCGGGACCTGGTGGTGAAGGGCAGCTTGCTGCGTTACAGCGGCACGGGCACTGCCGTGGAGAGCCTGCAGGCCTCCCGGCCCATCTTGGAGCCTCTGACGGTGGAGGTCCTCTCCGTGGGGAAGATGACGCCACCCCGGGTCCGCTACTCTTTCTATCTGCCCAAGGAGCCTCGAGAGGACAAATCGCAACACCCCAAGGACTCCCAGGACCCCTCTCTGCTCCACAACAGCGTCCACAGCCTCTCGAATCAAGTGGAGCAGCCAGAGGACAGGCTCTCTGCTCGCTGGGTGGCAGGCAGCTGGGGCCCTTGCTCTGTCAGCTGTGGCAGTGGCCTGCAGAAGCGGGCAGTGGACTGCCGTGGCTCCCCAGGGCAGCGTGTGACTTCTGCTTGTGACGCGGCCCATAGGCCAGTAGAGACTCGCGCTTGCGGGGAGCCCTGCCCCACCTGGGAGCTGGGCGCCTGGTCGCCTTGCTCCAAGAGCTGTGGCCGGGGATTCAAGAGGCGCCCACTTAAGTGTCTGGGCCACGGAGGGCGGCTGCTGGCCCGGGACCAGTGCAACCTGCGCCGGAAGCCTCAGGAACTGGACTTCTGCATCTTGAGGCCGTGCTGAATAGGGTCAGCCCTTCTTTTTCTCACTCTGCCCATCGGTGCTGCCAGTGTCCTGGCTGGCTGGAAGCATGGGCAGAGGGCAGGGGCCGGTTGCCCATGCCATGGTGTCACCACATCCAGGGACAAGGACCAAGGCAGGGGCCGAGGTTCCCGCCTCCTCCCTGGCCTGGGCAGGGAAGCTAGTAAATAATGCACAGTCTACCTCACGCCCGGCTCCTCCAAAGCCCAGTCTCGGGGAGAGGCTGAATGGTGCAGTGCTGGGTGGAAGGCTCTGGGGCCCAGTTTCTGAGGATCTGGAGGATGGACATCTCCCAGGCAGAACTTCAGGGACCTTGGCCTCCATCAGGGAGACCACAGGCTGCTGGAAGAGCCATGGCTCAGTGGCATGGCACCCTCAGGTGGCCCCAGGGGCTCTGAGCCATCTCTGAACAGGGCAGGTTTTTATGGTGCTTTTGGCCCACCATCTTTCTCTGACTGACATGGACTGAACATTAAAAATGGGGGTGGGGGCAGAAACGGAGAGGAGAGCCTGGGCTGACCCATTTGGGAAGATGTGTGTGTGGAGACACTATCTGGGTGGTCCAGGATGTGTCTAGTCGGAGGGCAGGCGCTCAGGTGTCCTCTGAGGCTCTGCTGGTAGAGACAGGAAGTGACTAGGGAGCTCATTGTCTTCTTCAAGTGGGTCTGGCTAGTAAAACAAGATGCCCAAACTTATAAGGGGTGTTGGATTCTGTGACTGAAGCGGGGGGTTTGAGGCGAGTTCTAGGAGGTTTTATTGTCTTTGGGGCTGGGTCAGAGCTTTGGGGGGATGTCATCTTGGATGGGATGAAGTTCCGATGGCTTCTTCCTCCAGAGAGGCAGGCATAAGTGAAGCTGACTCCTTTGGCTCTTTGTTCCCTTGGACAACCTTCTAAGTGGCCACAGAGATATACCCACAAGTGGGAGCTTGGGATATGTGTAGGAGGCTAGGTGTCTGATGCCCATGCACCTGGAGACTGGGCTTCGACTGGACAGTTACATGCAGTCTGGGCCTGGCACATCCATCACCTCCCAGGCTTCTGCAGTTGGATAACGGGGTTCATTGTTTGCTACCTCAGACTATGCTCTCTGGGAACCCACCGCTCTCCCTTTCTGGGATAGTGGTGACCCTGGTGCTTCCAGCAGACCTAGCTGCTGTCCTCTGTAGATTGAGCTGCCCCCAGCTTGAATATGAGTGTGGATCCCTCACCCCTATATCCCACCACCTGCTGGTGCTCCAGATAACGACAAAGCCTTTTTCTTTAGGTGCTTGGGGACTGGTTCAGAAAGCGCTATGAATCAATGACCTGACCTGGGGTTACTTGGCCGTCACCCGTGGTTGTTGCTGGAGAAGAGACATGTTAGGGCATTTTCAATATCTCCAAGTGGAAAGATGTTTGGGGGTACAGATTCTTTGGCCAAGCAGAATATTTCTGAAAGATGCAGCTGCCACAGAGTGTACTTGTGAGATTTTGCTTTTGAGTAGGTAATAAGTTCCCAACATCAATGAGGTGACCTCAGAGCCAGTGACTTTCCTGGGGAAAGGGTTCAGTCCTTTGTTCTCCTCTGAAAGAATCACAAACCCACCAGCCAGCCAGGCAAGCCTCTGGGTTGCTGTTCTAATCCCATTCTAACCCTGGGTGAGTCCTGAATGGAGTTTGGGTGAAGGGGGTACAGAGGGCATGTGGGCCTCTGAGACAGGGGTGCTGTTGCCCTTGAAAAGCAGAATGAGAGTGTGCCTGCCTCCCCCTATTGAGAACACTGTGGGGTTGCAGGGTCAAAAGGGGCTCAGGGCACCAGGGCAGATGGGACCCCCGAGTGTTGACGACAGCACTGTGCCCTGTGCTCGGCACACCCATTCTGGGTGGTGCGTGGCATGGGAACTGTGCAGAAGGGACGGGGGATGGGCGGGAGGGCAGGGAGCGGCCATCACCGGGGGTCACTGGCCCCCGAGTAGAGTGGCTTTCCACATCTTTTCAAGGAGGGACAAGCAACCTTGTTCCCGACACAGCTGGGTCTCGATGCCCTTTTCTGTCATGGTGTTTTCCTTCTAAAAGAAATCTGACTGGGACCCCTTGGCAGGGTTACTTCACTAGTCCAGCCTCACCCTCCCAGACTCAGCGGAGTCAAGTTTCACCACACAAGTTTCTGGTGATGGAATGAAATGTTCAGGTGGTATCTCATGACTGCGGAAGAAGAGGGACGTCGGGCGCTCTAACAACTTCTTTCATGGGGTGCGTGGAGCAGGAGGGGTCCAGGCTCTGGAGTCCCCTGCCTCCTCTGCCTCTCAAGCGCACTGATGGAGACTCCACCCTGGGCAAGCTGTGTGGGGGCTAGGAGTGGAGCAAGTGGGGGGGGCGTGAGCATGCCCAGCCCGAGAGCTGGCCCCCGAAGGCACTCGACACTGTCACGGACAGAGGCTCCCTTGGGCTTGGTGGCTCTTTAGCATTCCGCGCACTGTAGAGGATGGGCGGGACCTGGGTACTGGCTGGGCTGTGTATACTGTGTATACATGGGAGTCGGCTGCTGCAGGGTCAACAGCCCGCTCCTAATAAAGCTGTAAGTATTTAAAACCCGTGTCTTGCCTCTGTGACTTCCTCTCATCTATGCTCCCCAGGCCTCTTGAACACCCACCATACTGGGGCTACCGTACAAGTGACTAGGACAGGGGGAGATCCCATTACTATCCTCTGTGGTTCCAGGTGAACTGAGGGGCAGAGCAAATGGTCCCTAAGCAAAGAGACGAGACGAGTGACACACGAGGTAAGTGCCTCAACCAGATGAATTGCTGCTGAGAAAGACAGCGGGGGTCTGGCTCTGTGGTGTAGTTGACAGGAAGCCTGGCAGAGGAGGAGATCTGCCCTGTTGAAGGGGAACTGGAGCCCACCAGTGGAGGGGCAGCAGGCGGGGGCTCCCGGGACAGGAGAGTGTGGGAGTGTGGGTGCTGCAGAGGCAGAGAGAAGCCTCTGGGACTGGGCCGTTGGAGAGAGGGCATACTCTGAGGCCTGAGGGTCCATCATACAGGGGGTTCCAGGAGGAGACCCCCCGTTTCCCGAGGCAAAGTTCCATTCTGTTTGGAGAAGGCTTCCTGTTTCCTAATTCTGTTTTGGTCTGCAGTCTCAGCAAATGCACTGGCAGAGAAGGGCCATGGTGCATTTTAAAGAGCATCCAAATCGGAGTCCAGAAACTTGTAAACTTGCATTGCTCTCAAATCTGAGATCCTTCCTTGGAATCTCATTTTCCATCAGCAGAGGAAGAAGGGAGAGTCTGTTCCTTTAGAGTACTTCCAGTTTCAGCTGTCTGGGTTTTCAGGCACAGACGTGATTTCAGCTTTGGTTGATGATCATTTGGTTTCAGTTTGTGGTTCAGGGGTGAGTGGGCTTCTCAGACCTTTTCTGAAGGCCTAGCCTTGGGGTGAATGACTTCATGAGCTGGTCATAGACTCCAAGGCCAGGATGAAGTGTCCTAAGTGGGCTTGGGTAAACCTTTAGCACTTGATAGAAGTTTCTGGTGGAAGGAGGAGCCAGCTAACAGATTCCTCCACCCCCACCCCCATAATCAGAAGGTAGTTAGAAGCCTGGGAAGGATCTAGAGGGGTTCTGCTTGCTGTCTAAGCTAACAACTGTTAAGATCTTTGTGAAATTACTCAAAATGTTGTTAAATTCCTGGACTTGTTATTTTTGTTTCCCTTCTGTTTTCCATTGTAGCAATTGCCAGTAAAACCTTTCTAAGGAAAAGTTCCCACGGGTTGGTTGGAGGTAAAGGAAAACTGTTTCTCTAATTACACTTCTGACACCAAATGTGGCTGTTTTTCCCACATCAGTTTTCCAGCTCTCTGGATACCAACTGGGTTCACCACAACTTAATTAATTTCTGACACTAACTTGGTGGAATCAGCATCAGCCTCACAGATTGTGGGCTCATTTCACAAGACGGTCCTCCCTACCATCACGAGAGGGTCCTAGGTAATGCGGTCCAGGCCACCCACACTTCCTACTGACTGAGCGACAAAGTAGAGACGATCCCACAATCCTCCCTCGGGTTTGATAATTTGCTGGGGTGGCTCACAGAAGTCAGGGGAACATTTGCTTATGTTCACTGGTTTAGGATAGATCCGGTGATGAAGGATGAGGATGAAAAACCAGATGAACAGGTATGGAGGGTGAATTCTGCAAGCCGTCTGAATGCAGGAGCTGCTGCCCCCTGCAGATGGGGCAGGGTATGTCACCCTCCCTGCAGGTGCGTGGAGGGAAGCTTTGTCATGGCAGCTTCATTACACAGGCTGATTGATGACGGAGTATGAGCTCAGTTTCCAGAGTCCCACCCTCCCTGAGGATGGATGAATGGGACTGAGGTGCCAAGCTTCTTACCATGGCTTGTTTTTTTTTCTGCTGGCCATCCCACATTCTGGGCTTCATCTCCAGGAGCTCACCCAGGGTCACCTCCTTAGAAACAAAGACACTTCTCCCATCCCGGAAACTTCAGGGGATTTAGGAGCTCTGTGGTGGGAACTGGGGGGTAAGGCCTTATGTATCTATATCGCTATCCTATCTATCTATATCTATATATGTATGCACACACACACACACATTTCTCTATGTTGGAGGGGGTCACTATATAACGAGAGGCAGAGACTGGGCTTCACCCGGCCATTGGTCTGGAGGCTCAGGAAAGCAATGGCGCTAGCAACTCTCACTGAAGGAGCCTCCATGAGCACCGACCTGCCTGTGCTTTTAGCTTTCCTGAGAAGGAAGAACAGTTTCCTAATCTTGCTGACCTTTTGAAGAGATTCAGGAACAATTTGCTTTATAATCCATCCTCTGGAGAAGAATGCATTCTTGCCGTAGTAGAGAAAAAGCCTTGTAACTGCAAAAAGGTCTTGACGCCCTGAGCTATCCCTTCTCCCTACCCCCTCCCATCAGTGAGGTCTGGCTGTTCCCCAGTGGGCTGAGCTGGCATGGCCAAGGGCGGCATGTGTGACCCACAGAGTCTTTCCGTGTCTTCTTGGCCAGTGCCCAGCCTGATGGATGAGTCAGCCCTGAAGCTTGCAGACCTAGCAATAAATCCCAGAAGAGTGGAACCTCTCTCTTCAGGCTCTGCTGCCCGCCTCGGGCCCCCAGCCCCCATCACCTCCAATTCAGAGCAGCCACGAGAGAATTGCAGTAACCTGTTCACTGCTTCCAATCACGAGAGTCTGCAGAAAGAGAGGATGGCGGGAGTAGGCTTTGGACTGCTCCAGGAATGGAGTTCTCACCCTTCTCTCCCACCCAGCCTCCCTCTCCTACAGCCTATGGTGCTGGGCATTGTTTTGCTCTCCTTACTCAAAATCAGAAATGTAAATCACAATCCAAGCCCTAGCCAGAATGTGGAGGGAGATTAGAGTTCCAGGGGTATTTCAAAGGAGCAGAACTATTTGTCTCCAAAGGAAAGGATCTTGGCATAAAGAGCAAGGTAGAGGGAACCAGAAGGGAAGCTTCTCTTGAAAAACTAGATTTGGCAAAATGGTAAAAACATTTGTCTCGGTGAATGGTTGGAGGCTGATGAGACTTTAGACTCCTCCTTAGGTTGTTACAAACAGTCCTCTCCCCTGCCCTCAAGCAGGCCACTGTAGGTGGAGACTGCTGCTGGCTTGGACACTGCCGTACTGCCCAGATGTCCTTACAGGACACGCATTCTCATCTCAGTAGGGAGCACCCATCACCTCCACCCTGGGGAGCCTGGCAGATATTCCTGATGTGATGTTGGTGCTGAGGATTCAAAGAAAAGAGCCTTGGGGAGGCCTAAGGAAATGTGCCTGGGGGATACCATGACCCCAAAGAGCCTTCCTTGGGTGGATCTGATGGGCAGAGAGAGTCTGGCCCTAGGGGATATTGGCACACAGCCTCTTGCCCAGGGCCTTGGCTTGGTCAACCTCGGTGGCTTCCCTGGGAACACGAGCAGAACACGAGAAGAAGACAGAAACTGCCTTCTCTGGAGTTCTGAGGCCCCCTTTCTATGTGGGCACTTCTCTAACCCCACATCTGAGGGCACTTGCCCTTCGTAACCACTCTGAGTGTTGGTTGATTCAGCCAATCAGGTTGATTGATGCTGAAGCAAGGGAGTAGCTTAAACAAGTGAGGTAACAGAGCCAGGAGTCAAGCTCCAGTTTGCTTTCTTTACAATAAGACACTTCCCGCTTCTGTGCGTTCAGAGGCCACGTCATCTTCCTGGCATGACAGGGAGACAATGATCCCATTCCTTTCTTTGTTCCTGAGAGATTCCCAGGAGTGGCTTATTAGTGTGTTCTTAAGGTAACATCTTGTAGTTTCTTAACAAAAAATGTTTTAACACAACCTGTACTTGTCCCTGATTCTTATAATCTCCCCTAATTCACTGGATGGTTTTCTTGGTCTTTTTCCCAGTGGAGTATCTTCTGAGGCTTTTGGAGCTGACTCTTGAAGCCAACTTGTCAGCAAAGGAACCTAGAGTTCAGAGAAGCTCCAGATATCTCAAATGGCCTGAGCTCTTTTGAGTGTCAAAGGGACAGAAATAAAAATAATGAGAAGTGAGTAAAACTCTGGCAATGGAATCTAACAACCCCTGTGACTCTTTGTTTGCCCTGGAAACCTCCAGAAGTTTTTTTTTTTTTCTCCTTTCCTTTCCTTAAAATAATTATTCATGACTTAAAACATACAGCAATACAAAGAATAATAAAACAAAGCCTAGGTGTTAATAACCTAGCATAGGAATTAAAACATTATTGAGTGAAACTCTTTAATAGGTGCCACCCACTTCTTACTCCACCCTCTTCCGCCAGGGGCAAGGTGGTCTTGAATTTGGTGTTTCCCACCCCAGTCATTGCTGACGACTTCGCTCCACGTATCTGTAACCCTGCACCGTGCAGAGTTGCTTTGGTTTGCGTGTTTGTTAGCTACAGGGGCAGGTAGCATCTGCAGATACCTGCATGCTACCTATGTTTCTTTGAGACTCCCTTTGCTTAATGTTCCATATATGGGGGTCATTCATGTGGATGCCTGTAGGTCCTGTTCCTTGGTTTTCGTGTTATTTTATTTCTTAGGAGGTAACTAGTGTGAAACTAATATAAATCATTTCCAGAATTTTGCTAATATAGGTAATTCTGATGTGAAAAAAAATTAAATTTTCTTTTGCAGGTAAGTGGTGGGCAGTAGAGGGCAGTGGGCCGGCTTTGCATCTCTCAGCAGCTCAGAGCTCAGAGCACTGAGTCAGGCCCAAGGGCCTGGGGCTGGAGATTGATCATCTAGCCTGGCTGGCTGGATGATGGTGGAGACTGCTCAGAAGGTGATGGTGAGCAGGAGGGCTGGGGACATGTCGTCCAGGAAGGAGGTAGCTGGTGGGGATCTTGAGACTGAAAAAGAAACTGGGTAAGTCCTTGGGTCTAGCATTATGGCCTCTAGGAGCCTCAGGCGTGGGATGGCCAATGGCTCACCACCCTCCTTCCACACCTCTACATTTCCTCCATAACCTCTCACCCACGAGGCCCATACTGCCCTCCCATGTGTGTTAGGT